GCCAAAAACGCATATTTTTTGTTTCAGTAGCCACCAATTGGTAGAATTCACCACGTTATGGTGGAACTCACAGCCGTAACACTGTTGCGCCTCGTTTTATAAATTGTTGCGACGTCACGCGAGGGCACCTTAGAATACGTTTTTTCCTCACTTCGTCCCCTCTGATTGGCTCGTGTCTTTCTGCAATGTGGTGTTTCCTGTGGCGATATTTCCACACAGATATTTTTTATGATCTCTTCTTAGTCCGATTTTCCAGAGAATCGGCATAGCGAGACAGCACAGTCTTGAATTCTTTGGCCAAAAACGCATATTTTTTGTTTCAGTAGCCACCAATTGGTAGAATTCACCACTGTGCGGTGGACTCGGTGCCGTAACGCTGTTGCGCCTCGTTTTGAAAATTGTTGGACGTCACGCGAGGGCACATTAGAATACGTTTTTTCCTCACTTCGTCCCCTCTGATTGGCTCGTGTCTTTCTGCAGTGTGGTGTTTCCTGCGGCGATGTTTCCACAGAGATATTTTTTATGATGACCTCTAAAAACCCATGTAAAATTTCTCTGAACAACGTGTATGACAGTTCCTAGATTGCTTTCCGGAGAGTTAAAAATTACGTCCGGTTATTTCGAAGTGGTAGACGAACAAGTTTACAAAAATTGAGTGGAAATACGCTCAAACTTGAAGGGACTGTGAGAGCAACATGTCAGTTTCTTCAAGGAGATGGGTGAATGGTGTCACCCTCACCGATAGCGTAAAAGAAAAAATCAGAGACGCGCACATGCACCCAGGAATACAGGGGAAAAGCCTTTTTCTTTCTACCGACGAAAGCGTCGTGTGGAATCTGGTTAAAAGATACGTTTTTACACCCTGACGTCTTGAAGCCTCACCGCTTCAAGCCTCACCGCTCTAAGGTGGTTCTACAGAAACAGTTTTCGTCTCAAGTTGGAAATCTTGGAAATAATGGGGCAATGTGCTTCTGGGTGACTGTCATTTTTCACAAGGTGGATCAAAGAATAATTACTGCATATCCAACATGAAAATTAACAAATAATTTTTAAATATGGTGGACAAAAGTTGGTTTTATGAACTTCGCAAATAATTGTAATAAAAATATTATGATGCTTCATATTTTGTCAAGGTTTTAGTTATGCGTATCGTTGGTGAAATTATTGTCGGTGTAAAGCTGTAAATTTATATTTTTTGTCAACAAATAGACTGCTGGTTTTCCTCACGTTCCTTCGGGTTACTGTTCAGCTTTGTGGATTAATGTAATTTTGTTAAGAACTCTGCTCCGTCAGTGATCTGAGGTTCTGTAAGACCTGTTAACATTCAAAATAATGCTGCCAGTTATCATATGAGTAACGAATCCTACGCAACGCAACTAACAAACAAAGTTTTATAAACCAGCTTTCTTTTTTGTGCACTATTCAGTGGGAAACCTGCAAAATAAGCGGAATTGTCAGCGTTTAGCAGGCAAGTTGGGCAATATCGAGGTTAGCGAGAAGGGCAGGTGACATTAATATTCCCCACACTTCTCAGACCCAGCTTTCTCTGTCTTTAGTGGCGTTCCATCTTCCTTTTCTATCTAACCCAGAGGTATAGCAGGAACGACGCTGGTTGAGCCCTTTGAAGTCTTTCACGTTCATAGGTTTTCATAGGTATCAATAAAAAACTTTTATTTTCACTTCAATTGAATGTAAAAATGCCATCATTCATCTTATAAATAAATACTGTACAACACACTCTTATCCGATATACATATACTACCTAACTAGCTCTAATGATTAGACCGAAAACGTTCCAATGACATTTATTAAAAGGAAAGACTTATTCCTTTGAAAATTAATCAATTACAAAATCAAAAATGAAACGCTCGATACTTCTCTCTCTTCACGAGTCGTTGTTAGTGTTTGGGAAAGCGATAGGAACGACTTTGCGTGGGTTACACAGAATTTCTGTTCACTTTTTCTGGTCGAAACATCTTTGCACTTTTAGCTACAGCGCTCTAAGTGAGACTGTTGCTCATAGTTTGAGGCAACTGTTGCTTTAAAGTTTTTCTGAAAGACACGTATATCTTTAATTATGGTCCACGGAAAAACAAAAGGCATCAACATAATGCTAGCTTATGGCAACAACAAAATCTCTCCATTTGAGCTGCTGAGTGAATTCCGGTGAATAGTACACTTGTCCTCTTTGGATCACGCGTAGCAGAGCACCTAAAAACGCGCAAGTTTGTCTCAAGTAAAAATAGAGAAAAGAATTGCAACGTTAAACTCTTCATATACTCGGCATCCTAAGGAGGCAATCTTCAAGCATTTCCATACGAGTAATTTTTGCTTTAATGGAGTTTTAAGGTCTTGAATAACAAGAAGCCCACGCATGTCGTTGTTCCTACCATAAAACAGCTTTAAAAGAAGTTTGCTTCTGGCCGATCAGCAAAATTACGAGTAGATAATCATT